GTTGGGGGTGGTGATTGTTTTTTTGGTTTTGATTTTTTAAATTTTGCATATTTTCCTTCTCTCTCTTTTTTTTTTTTTAAACTGAAAGAGGATGCACAGGAGGCGAAATTGAACATTTTTTTGTTGGCTTTTGTTTACCTGGCGTGTGTGGCAACCGGCTCGCTCCCTCTCTCTGCTTGCTATCCCTGACCTTTCTTTCTTTTTGCTCCTTTTCAAAAAAAATATTAATTTCCCCCTTCTGTGCAATGGAGCGTGGCGGGGGGAGGAGGGGGAAGGGTTTGAGAATCCACCCAAGCCCGGCCCCTATTCCCCAGAACACCAATAATAACCCCCTTTAAAACATTTACCTTCCTCCCCTGCTCCTCCCCCTCCCCCTCCCCCCACCCGCCCCCAACTCACAACTCTGTTGAGTCCAGAAGCTCAGAATCGGGCGTTGGGCTTTGCCGGGTGCTTCAGATCAATGGTAATTATTTAATTTTTTCCAGTTTTATTTTTGTAAACAGAAATCAATTATTATTTAAACTTCAAACAAGCAAACAAGCAAAAAAAAAAAAAAAACAAAACCGAAAACAAAAACAAAAAGCGGGAGCCCAGCCCTCTGTCACCTGACTGAGTGGGAAAGAGGGTGAAGGGGTCAGTGGGGAAGGGGCTGCAGGACGCCCCACGTAGCTTTTAACCCTAATGTGGCCGAGGCAACCACCTTATTTGTGCTAACAAGAAGTGTTTTGTTCCTTATTACTGTGATTAACATTAGTATCGGTGTCGGTAACAAAGCTGAAATCACATATTTAGGATTTAGATCTGATTTAAAAAAAAAATGCTGGGGTGGACGTTCCAATTGGAGCAGGAGAAAGAATGAAAACAGCTTGGGGAGGGGAATGCCAAATCCGGTTCCTCGCTGGCTCCTGGATGTCATGTTCTCTTTTTGGGGGTGGCCAAAACCCGACCGGTGTCGGGACTCGAGGCGGCCCCCGCACGCCTAGCCCGGGCGTCCACGGGAGTCGGTGCAGACCGGACCCCGCACCGGGGCGAGCTGACAGGAGTTTGCGGCAGCGATAGAACATGGAGATGTCATGGGCGCGACAGAGCCTGGCGGGGATACCAGCAGCGTGTGTGTGTGGACGGCAACGTTGTCTGTGCGCGCGTGTGTGTGAGTGAGTGAGTGAGGGAGAGAGAGAGAGAGAATAGGTGTGTGCTCAGGCGCTGGGTGCCTCTGTCTGGCTGCTGAGGCTGACATGGGAGCGAGCGGCTGGCGAGGCTGGTGGCGGCTCCAGACCACACTTCTGTAGAACAATCACGAGAGAAAATTGTCGTGGGAGGGGGGAGGAGGCGGAGGCGGCGGTTTTCCTTGTGCCCCCCTTCTAACGCTTCTTTTCTCCTTTTCTCTTTCCCCCTCACCCCGGCTTCCCCTCCTCCCGTCCTCCCTCGCCCCGCATGCTCCCGGCTTGCCGCCTGCAGGATGAGTTCCACCCGTTCATCGAGGCGCTGCTGCCTCACGTCCGCGCCTTCTCCTACACCTGGTTCAACCTGCAGGCGCGGAAGCGCAAGTACTTCAAGAAGCACGAGAAGCGGATGTCGAAGGACGAGGAGCGGGCGGTGAAGGACGAGCTGCTGGGCGAGAAGCCCGAGATCAAGCAGAAGTGGGCATCCCGGCTGCTGGCCAAGCTGCGCAAAGACATCCGGCCTGAGTTCCGAGAGGACTTTGTGCTGACCATCACCGGCAAGAAGCCCCCCTGCTGCGTGCTCTCCAACCCCGACCAGAAGGGCAAGATCCGGCGGATTGACTGCCTGCGCCAGGCCGACAAGGTGTGGCGGCTGGACCTGGTCATGGTGATTTTGTTTAAGGGGATCCCCCTGGAAAGTACTGATGGGGAGCGGCTCTACAAGTCGCCCCAGTGCTCGAACCCCGGCCTCTGCGTCCAGCCACATCACATTGGAGTCACAATCAAAGAACTGGATCTTTATCTGGCTTACTTTGTCCACACTCCAGGTAGGTCACTCTCCACCACCCCCCCCCCATTTTATTTTACTTGCCGCCATTTGTTTTGTGTGTATCGCTCCTCTTCTTTTCCAAAGGATCCATGCAATGGGCCTGACTAGCACGCCTGTCCTGCGGGGGCGGGGGGGGCTGCAGCCTGTGTGATGTCCCCCGTTCCCTTCTGTTTCCCTCCACCCTCTCCATTCTTCCTCCTTCGCTCCCTTGCCACGGTACCTACCGGATTGTCGTGCATCTCCCTCTTTGGAGGACTCATCTTAGGACTGGGGCCCCGCTGCCCCCGAATTACCCACAATGGTGAGAGTTGGTGATGAACGCTACCACACACATACAAAAATCACTCGTTGCTCAGATTTAAAATGAGTCAGAAGAAGTATTGGGAGCCAGGTGCTGGCTTTCCTGCAGCTTCCCCACAAGTCCTAGGGAAATGTGGGATTTGGCACAAGCGGGGTGGGCAGCAGTTCGGTGGAGAGAGGGGCGTGCAAAACCCCCGGTTAGGAGCCAGAATGAATAGAAAAGAGGAGAGAAGGCAGAGGCAGGCAGATTCTGGGGCCCAGATGCCCAGGCGGGAGCTGTTGTGGCTGGGATTTGGCTGCCAGGGAGTAGGAAAGTCGTTTGACTTCATAGAAAGTGAAAAGGAGCAGGAGATTCTGCGTGCTCTCCCTTCTGCAGTGTGCGGCTCCAGTGGGGAGACCCCAGGATGGCTGCCCACAGCTCCCACCCCTGGGCTGGGAAGCACAGAGGCTCTCCCCAGCACAGGCATGGCAGGGAGGAGCATCGTTGCTGTGGTGGTCTGAGAGAAACAAACAATCCAAAAACTCTGCAAATTTTCCTTTTCCTTTTGTGTTCCAAGTAGTTCCAGTTCTCCTCTTTGCTTTTCCAGTTTACCCAGCATTTTGGGTCGGGGTGGTGCAGTTCTCTTCCTCTGTTCCTTTCACTGCCCCCCCCCACCCTTTCCCTTTTTATAATTTCTTTCCGCTTTTGTTTTCTTACAAATTGAAACAGAGATGGCTGGTTAATTTTTAGCCTCCACTCAGCTACGCCCAATTTACTGCCGCCTTTGAAACCTAAACGGGCGGCACTCTGTGATTAAGCAAGGCAGAAGTGTGTTTACATTATGCCCAACCAACTTGTTTTTTTTGGGCTACCAAACCTTTTTCTTTTTTTATGTGTGTGTGTGTGTTTTTTTTTTCCTTTCCACCATTCCGGTATTTTTTTCCCCCTTGTTTCCCTTCTTTCTCTCTTTATGCAAATGTAACAGAATGTGGCTTAACTTCAACTCTGGTGAATGTTCTTTCCCGCAAGTGTGTGTGTGTGTGTGTCTTCCTTCCTGTTCATTCATAAAAAAGAAAAGCAACTCACTTTTCTGCTGTGGTCACTCCCTTGCCTGTTTGGGAAGTTGGGAAGAGTGGTATGACTTAATCCAGAGATGAAATTTTGGGGAGCTTTTAGCATTGCCTCAGGAAGGTAACCTTTACTAGGATTAGCACTGAGGGTTTATATGTTGGACAACTCTGGGGAGGAAAAGGTGGTGTTGGAGGCCTCTCTCCTTACTCAGTCACATTCTCTCTCATTCAGAGAGGTGGCTTTGGTGGTTGGTTGGAGGCAGTGGACAACCCGTGTCCCCCTTGCCCTGGCCCCCGAAGCCATTGCTCCCTCCATGGATCTTTCTAGGCCTGCACCTGGCCCCGTGTGGCTATTGTGACCCCTCATGAAGAATGCCTAACTGCCAGTCCTCTCCTCTGTTTGTCCTTTTTCTTTCTGGAAATGAGACTAAAGAAAAATTTGCAAAGTTATCCTCTCGTTCTCTGTCTACACAGCAAGTTAGAGCGGGGACGGTGTGTGCCTGGTGGTGCTGGAGGTAGCCGGTGGGGGGCTTGGAGCCTTGAGTTTGCGTCTGTCAGATAGATCTTCTGCAAGGGGATTCGGTACCTTCTGATTTCAGAACTAGGGCCTCTGAGATGGAAATCAGTACTCATCTTTCTCTGGCTTCCTCCTACCCTGCTCTTTAGCTAGATCCCTGTAGCCGAGCTGTTTCCCTTTCCTCTTTTATTTTAGGCCAAATTCTTGACTGCTGCCAGCATGGGGCTGAGGTAGGATGAAGTGTGTGTGATGGAGACCGTTTGTGGCCAGCCTCCTGGCTCCTGGACTGACCAGGCAGGTGTCGGGAGAAGGGAGGCATCCCCCGCCCACCCCCCAGCTATAATGAGATCACTTGCCCAGGAATATGAGCGAATTCATGCCCCATCGAATGCGACCGCGGCCATTTCTGTCCCGGCTGAGGTCCAGTTCCTTGACAAAAGCTGAGTGGAGAACTGAGGACATTTTTAAATAATTCATCTCTACTCCGGCTCCCTGGACTCCAGATAGTTTCAACGAAGGTAGGATTTCTTGCTGGAATTGCTTTAATTCAGACGTGCCTCACTGCGGGAGCAGGGGTGAGTCGTTGCAGCACGGGCCACCTGTGGGCCTGGGGTAGATGGTCTCAAGAATGCAAGGAGCAGGCACGGCTTTGCCCCCAAGCCACCCCAGTGTGCTAGAAAATGTCTTCTCCTGGCTAATTCCCCAAACAGCATCGATGTGACAGCACAGCCTTCTCCATGCCCGTGCACTCCGATGTCCTCAGCAGGCTGCCACTTGTTCCTTCCCCGCCCTGGAACCTGGGAGTGGGGGCTAGGGTGGCAAGGGCTCAGACAAGAGTTGCCGTGGATGCTAAAAGAAGTCTTTTTCTTCCCTTAAAACTGGGCCGAAGGACCAGTCTGGGCTGAGCTGGTGGTGCCGGGTGTGACGACAAGTGAATTTGACACAGTGCAAAGCGTGGGGGCACTGCTTTACCTCCAAGTGCCGTCGTCATCCGTGGCCCTTGCGTGCTCTTATTTTGCCCCACATGAAGCTTCGAGAGGAGCCATGGCTGGGGAGGGAATCTAGGACATGTGTGTGTGATGTCTGGAGCTCCACTCCCAGTGTGCGGCGTCCAAAAGACCGCCCAGAGTGTGTTACGGCCTCCCTGAGGGTTAGCCTTCCTGCTGGGAAGGAGTCTTGCCATGTGTCTGTCCCATTTAGGAGGGGACGTTGACGCAGCTCAGGGTCAGAGAGCACTGTCATGGGGAGGAGAGGTGTATCCCTGGTGATGTCCTTCCATCCAAAGAGGTTGCCCTATGGCAGGCGGTCGAAGATAGGCTGGGAGCGCAGGTCCAGGAGGCCTCTGCTTGTGTGGGGGAAGGATGGCTGCGCTGGTCTGGAAGTGCTGCTAGACTCTTTCCAAACCTTCCACGGAGCCCTGAAGGTGAACTGGTATCTTCAGACCTGCCCTAACCTAGGCTTCGGCCCTAGGAAATAGAAAAATCTGCGTGCCTGGCTGGCTCTGCTGGTAGAGCATGTGCCTTTTGATCTCGGGTTGTGAGTTCGAGCCCCATGTTGGGTGGAGAGATTGCTTAAAAATTAAAAAGAAAATCTGAAGGTAATAAAATGCCTTACTGAATGGAAATGGCAGTGGAGGCCCGTGAAGTCCAGATATTCGGGTGGTGGTTCTTTCCTTTATCTCCGCTTTTTCATTATGGAGAAATTCACATGTAGAAGGAGCCCCCTTCACTGGTGTCAGTAGTTTGCCAGCTTATGGCCAGTCTCGACTCATCCATACCCCCCACTGCCCACCCATGCTGTGTCGTAGAAGAAAATCCAGGCATTGTAGTTTTTCATCTGTAAATATATCTGCTCACGTCTCTAAAGATAAGGAGTTGTGAAGAACATAACCACAATATCACTGTCACACCTAAAAATAATTTCTTTAGTTTCTTTAGTTTGGTCGGGCTAGTCAGTGTTTACATTTCCCTAATCATCTAATTTTGTTGGTTTGTCTAGGTCAGGATCAGAATTGGAATCAGGTGCACGCAGGGGTATCTGGCTGGCTCAGTCGGTAGAACATGCGACTCTTGATCTCAGGGTCGTGAGTCCAAGCCCCATGTTGGGCGTAGAGCTCTAAAAAAAAAAAAAAATGTGCACACACTGCAATGGGTCGATAGGTCTTTCAAGACTTATAACCTCTAAGTGGTCCTCCTCCTCCATCTTGGTTTCTTTTCCGGCAGTTTTTGGGTTGTTGCTATTGAAGGACCAGGGTCATTTGTCCCGTAGGGTTTCTCTGTCTGGACTCCGCAGCCTGTGCTCCCTTGGGTTGTTCAGGTCAGTGCTCTGAAAGGAGATTCTGCCTCCCTCCTCACTTCCAGGTCCTGGGACGGCTGGACCTTACCCGGCATAGGAAGTGGATTAGCACCTAAGTAATTGTCTAAGTGAACTTTTTCAAGTGCACGGTCACCCTTCTCAGGTGTAAGAGTCCCCTGGTTTTTGCTCTCTGCTTCAGAGCTCAGGGCTTTACAGTGAGCACTGGTTTTCAGGTCCGAGGGAGGACTCCTCATCTGGGTCCCTCCCTGGTGGTAGAGGGCATCGTTCGGCCATGTTAGCCTTGCCAAGATGCAGCCGATGCCAGCGATGCCCTGAAGTCTTCACTGGACGCTCGGCCCATCTGGTGGCTCTGGTGCCAGTGCATGGGAGGGGCCGGAGGAGCACCAGCCGCGCTCTTGGGGGACTAACCCCTAGCATGGCCCCTGTGCCACCTCACCCACGGCCTCCTTTTTCAAGGCCCAGAAATGCCACTGGTCTGCGTCTTTGAGGCAACACCATCTGGTGCTAGGGCTAGCCGAGACCGCAGGGCCCAGGAACCAGATTCATATGATTAGCAAGATCTACGGATCATCTTTTAACCCAACGTAATGTCCCCTTTAGAACATCCTGGAGGAGAGGTCGGTTTTGTGCAAAGGTCAACTTCGGTTGTAAAATTCTTCTGTTCGTCCAACCCGAGAATGGTTAAAGGGATGAAAGCCTCTAACACGTACAGATACAGGCACAGAGCGGGCAGGCAGGGGCTCACAGCTGCCGCAATCACGGCTGTTAGGACGTCGTGCGCCCAAGGCTGCCTCCCTAACACCTTCACCTGCCAG